TCTTGAATAACACAAACACTTCGAAACCATATTCATTGAACATTTTGTATTGTAAATTATTATCTATAATCTATGGCTTATATAATCTTTTGTTCATTTTTAATTCGTTAAATTTAAAAACATGCATATGTATATTAAGAACCTCTGAGTCCTGAGTGTGACTGTGAAGACAGAGAAAGCCATCCCTATAACGATCCCTATCTCAGCATCCAGTATAATGGTACTGGCGGCAGTCACAATCCATATCATCTGGAAATGCAAAACGTCATTCCAGTAACTCTTATTTGTTCTTTAAAACATTTTCAAGGAACGAGTTGGTTCAAAAATAAATCTATTGGCATTACGACGAATATTTTAACTTAAATGACTTAATGAAATTGTCAATTATGTTTCCCATCCTCTGTTTATCTATCATGCATATTTAGATCTCCAGAATATCTGAAGATAAATGTTACAAATGAAATAGTTCTTTGAAAGTCATGAATTGCAAATCCGTAATTACACAGTATTTGTAAAAAAAAATTATTTTTTTTTACAGTTGAAAAATGCTACATGTATTACATGTATGTTGTTTACAGTTTTTGTTTTACCAGATAATTATAAATTAACCATAATTAATAAGTTCTTTTCTAAACTTATTTTTTAAACCTAAATCCTCTCTGAATTAATGAATATTTCCTCTCTTTCTCTAGCAGGCAGCTATGTAGCACATTTATTTTCATGTATGTTTAGAATGTTTTATGTTTAGTAGGGGGTCAACTAGAGATATATAAATGTATACTATACATGGCAATGTTTTCCAGGTTTTGATTTCTTAATTAGTCTGCTGGTTGATCCCCCTTTTTTCGATGTATATCATTTACAATGACATTATGGTGCTGGGGTTAAGATTGTGCAATATTGTGATAAAGATACATGTATTTAATATTTTATATTTGAACCTTTCCTGAATTGTATTGTAAATTGTTTTCCTACTTTTAAGTCATTTACTGAAATAAATGACATTGAAATACTTACAAAATGTATTTTGTTTTTCCGCTTTAACCAAAAAAGAAGCTCAGTTATCTGGCAGGATACTGTAGGAACATTCCACGTAAACTCATCAGCACCACGGCAGATAGAACACACTAAAGCACAATAAAAACGTACGTATTACCAGGTGAATATACGAAAGGGCATTTCAATACATTTTGAATCGTTACTTCAAAATTATGGTAAATATTCTACCTTTGAATTTCCTGGTAATTGATTAAGTTTAAAACATAAACTTATAAATAATTAAAATAACTGTCTAAAAGAATGAACATACCTTAGGTAAATTGTAAAATAATGGTCCTATGGCAACAATGACAACAAGAACAACGAGACAACCAATCAAGGATGCCACCTACAATCATCAAAAATCAAACGGCAATTCAATTCTCGATGTCTCAAAAGAGGCCCTATTCCTTTATTATATCTAAATCATATTCAGAACATTCATGAGTGACACTCTTGTATAATTCTTTACTTATTAATACTTACCTGAGTTTTACTCCCAGCTGATTCCTGTACCATACTACGTCCTACCGACCCCGCGGGAATGTACCCAGAAAACAAAGAACAAGCTAAACTTCCGGCGCCATACGCCACCATTTCCTTAAAAAAATAGTTATGTGGTAAAAAAAAATTACCATCAATTAATGGTTAAAAGATAACATTCTCGATTCAACTGTAATACATGTGATTTTTTTCTGACCTGGTTTGGGTAAATGTCATAATTATTTGTCTGGGCTAAAATTTTGGCAATTGACACCGTCTGGGTAAAAGCAACTATTCCAATCATGACTGCATCTTTCAGATAATTAGGAATGACTAGTTTTAAGTCTGGTATATTTAATGACGGGAATCTGTAAGAAAAAACATAATTAATTTATTTTATTACTTTTTGTAATTGAATTGGCCTAATGCTTGTTCCTTTTAACCGCCATTACACATAAATTGACAAGTATAAAAAAACAAAATTCTTTATAAAATTATTAACAAAATTTTCAATAAAATCAAGAGATACAATTTTCTTTCATTGATTACTTACCCAGCTGGTATATCTTTTACAACATTTAAACCGTTGTTTTCAAACAAATTTGCAGCGTACGCAATGACTGTTGCTAAAACTACCTAATATACAAAGTAAGTAAATTGTAAGTGTTTGAATTTTTATTTAATTTACTAGTTTTAATATTCATTGAAGATTTAGTGATTCTATTCATTTATGTTAAATTGGTTACCACTATCAGATCAGCTGGGATAGGAATTTTTAATCGTTTCTTGTAGCGGATGTTGATGTGAACTTTGATGACGTAAAGAATGATGAAAGACACTGTAAATATCACCAATGGGAGCCACTGTGTATCGCCAATATTTTTCAATATAGCAACCCAGGTCTGAAAAGGAAGGCCAAAACATTCAAAAAATAAACGTCTCAAATTGATATATTTTATAAATAGAACAAATTGCTCTACATTTAGTTCCACATGTTAATACACAGCTTTAATTTAATCTTAAGCCATGTAATAAATCATAATGCATTGTTACTTTTGAGACATGAAAATACAGAATGACCTTGATTATTTTGAAGTATCCATTAAAACGAATGACATCTAGGCCGAATATATGTTTAGCCTGAGCTGTGATGATCAGAAATGCAACAGCCGATGTAAAACCGCTAACCATTGGTTCTGGCATATAGGTTGTGATAATTCCAAAACCGAATCTGCCTAAAATTATCTAAAAGAAATCAATTATAGGTAAAGTTACTATTCTTTATAAATTCTAAAATCTCAATTAATCTGAACTGGAAAGATCAATGAAAATAGGATAATTTAAGTATTTCTTAATAAAATATCAAAACTTAACTAACAATATTAATGTTATATGGAAAATGCAAAATTCATCTTAAACAATGAACGTAAAAAGTACGCGTATTATTAATCTAATATTGAAATTTACCATCACAACTCCAGAAACTAATGATAACGCACTGGCGATTTCAATTTTAAAACCGTCAATAGATGAATGCACGTTTGATCCTTGTATCACATTGGTCAAACTGTCATGTCCTGTGCTGTTCACAAGGAATGAAGAACTGTTCGTGGACGGTCCAAATATGGAATATGACGTGAGATTCTGAGGTATTACATGTATAGTGTTTTGTACACTGTAGGTGGGATTTGAGGTAGCATCATCCAATACTGAACCAATCATTAGGCTTACAACGGATATACAACCTGTAAAAAATGCATACTCCAATGGCTTTTCATTTTTAGGACTTTTTCAATACTAGTATCATGCAATTGTATTTGAAATTTATATAGAATTTTGACGCACCTGTACCGCAAGTGCTTTATCATGTAACAAATATTACGTATTTACATCTGTACATGTATTTTTCAAAATTAAGACTTGACCTCTTTATGATCACGCATATTTTTCCCACTAAAATTAAAACTTTATTTTAAAGGTTTTTTTATTATTATTTTGTTGTATTATACTTTTCATTTAATCACATTGATTGTATTTTATGTATAATAATTTTTTTCTGAGAATATTTGTAATACAGACCCATGGACACATGCCTTGATGTTCCCAAAAAGAAGTAGACAAGCGGTCCAAAGAAGGAGATGTACAGTCCACATATTGGAGGAAGGGAAGATAGCATAGCGTATGCCATACCTGTAAGAAAATTTGCCACAGAATCAGTTAAGAATAATTTATGATCAGATTTCAACGGCCTCGCCAAAAACGGCGTTTCCGAGATTTTATTTCCGCAAAATTTCATGTTTTCTGCAAATTAAAGTATTCTAAAAAATGAGAAAAATAACTGGAAAAATAACTTTTTTTTTCGATATATGGATATATCATTATTTTTTTTTTCAATTTAATAAAACAGGAAAATTTATTCTCAAAAGTGCTAGCCTTGAAGGCCAGAATGTTTAAGAACTTATATACATGTAATTAGATTAGACATAATTATATTTTTTTAATTTGTTTTAACTTCATAACAAACATCAAAAATTAAAAATTCTTGTCATGTTCAGAATACTTGAAAATTTCGAAAAAATCAAATGAATTTTTGTCATGTCTTTCAAAAAATATCTTAAAGCCCAAAGCGATTTATGACCCGTAAGGGGTATCGTAGGGCGTCATAAGATTTGTTTTGATTTCGAATTTCCTCTGCAAAGGTTGTTTACCTTGTGGTATCTGCATGACTCCGACCGTAAGTCCAGATATTACATCATTTGCTAAATACTTCCTGATTTTATAGGTTTGGAGGGTTTTGACAAAAGGGAAAGTTTTACGGGCACATCGTTTATAATACTGTTTCGACAAATAACGACGACTCGCACTCTTCAGTCGCGAATACCACGGCACCTCGTGTCTCGTTCGATGGCGTTCATTAAAATCACATAACTTTGCATTTTCTGATTGAACATTCATATCCAGACTGTGTAGTTTATGAAAAACACATGCAGTAGATCGCCTAACAGCATTCAGAATTAAAATGCATTGAAGTTCTGATTCTTGACACTTTCTCTGCCTTTTAGGCCTTGCTGAATATAGCTAGCGGTACTCTGTTCATATTAAAATAAAATTTAAAAGTCCCGTCTGAGCTAATAAAATTCGCGTTCGAGCTCGAGAAACCGGGGTAAAATGAGGTACACGCGACAGTCATCCCTGTCAAACAGGAAGTAAACATTATGTTGTCATTCTATAACTAGTGATTGCACTAGTTGATCGATACTTAAGTATGGCTTAAAGTAGAGCTATTTTTGATTAAGTTAACAGGTCTATGAATACTTTATGTTAGTAAAGGAGGCGATATAAAGAGTTGTGCTGTTACATGTACTTGTAGTACCAGTGTACTGCATTTAATTTTATGTTACAATTTGTATTAGTTTTCAACTTTGCTACTTTCGTTTTGTTTCCTCTCAAGCGTTGTCTGTACCATCTACCTATGAACCATGGCTGGGATCCATTACGCAGAAGTGAAAGAAATGAAGGAGAAAGCGTGAGTGTATAGTTATCCTATAATTTATATCTATCGCTCTACAGCTTCCATTATCTTAAAATGAGGAATTCAGCCTTTTCTTTATTCTTTCTCTCCTTCGGTCTGATAATATGGGACCACGTCCAATATGATAATGAGATTTTGTATGTTATATAATTCAGTATTCTATTTATCTTATATTTACATTAAGATAAAAATAGAAGAATTATATTTAATTTGTGAGTTGTGAGCCCTTGGTCTCAACAATTCGATGATATTTTCAGCGACTATTCCTTCGCCAACTACGCAGCACATTGATAAACTGAAAGCTATCATATTCTTATAAAATATTCATGATAGTACTAAAATTATTTATTAATTTCTTGGTTGAACATTGTCAAGGTTTCCACTACATGCATGTTCTGCATGGGGATCGGGTCACACTAAAAACTGCTTAAATCGATATCAAAAACACATGGCCTGTCAAAAAATTACTTTCATTTTTATTTTTTAAACCTAGCTCCACCTTTTTCCTACTAAGGAGTACATCAAGAGTACTGTGCAAACTAAAGTCTTACGAGAAATTATTGTACATATAAGACCGCGGAACATTAACTGGCAAATTAAGATTGGAAATATACACCTTACGTCATTTCTACGGACGTGGGGAAAACATCGGATTGAAATTGCAGACAGAAATTCATTTTCAATCCACCTCAGCTACGCTAGAAGGCACATAATTACTGATTGACCCAGAAGACAAATAATTTCAATTTTGGTAAAGTTTGAATTTTTTTGTCCAGTGTTTTAAATAAATTAATATTTAAGGGACAAATATTTCATTTCTGTTTGGTAAATATATGTATATGTTTGTGTGGGGGGGGGGGGGGGGGGGGGGGGCTGAACGATTTTTAAATAAAGTTGTCAAACAGTTGTCCAACAGTTTTCAGTGAAAATAAGTATAAAACTCATGCACTCTTATAATCCTAGAAATAGAATATATTGTCATGTTAAATTTTTTTACCCCCCTCCTTCTTGAATCAAATACCTCCTGAAAAATAATATTTGTCTTCTATGATCTTTCGCGTTCTTAAAATTATAAGCTAAAATTCATATTAATGTGAACTTCAAACAATATGTATTTGGGAGTTGAAATTAGTTGAATTTTGGATCATACATTCACTCTTTGCTTCACCTAACCCTAACCCTAACCCAACAGCTCAGATGGGTTGAAAATGAATTTCGATCTGCAATTTCAATCCGATGTTTTCCCCACGTCCGCGTCGAATTGGACCCGCCCATTTCATTGTCTATCACTGAATGTTTTGATTGTAACAGACAGAAATGACGTAAGGTGTATATTTCCTATTTTGCCAGTTAATGTTCCGCGGTCTTAATGTACATATACAGGGTCTTCGAGTTCAACGAAGGACCAGTGTCTGTTTGTAATTATTTCAAAGCTGGTTATGATTAAAGTACATTGTAATTGTTCATGAAAAGCTTAACTTTTCAAGATCATTTAATCTTCTGTTTTATTTTTTTAATTTGCAGTGAAAATGAAGCCTTTATTTTTTCTTTGCCTGTTTCTTGGAGGAAGTTTGTGTTTAGGCAAACACACGAGGAGAATTGGAGGTAAGTTTGTGATTTCTTTCATGCATTTTATTCTAGATCAGTAATGCTTTATATTTTCCTGTTAAACAAATCTTTTTAACCAATGTTTATTTTATATAGCTACTTGAACATTCCTGAAAATAAAGTTTTAAAATATCTTAATATCTTTTTACATGGACTAGCAGTCGGTGTGTAAAAAATAATTTCAATTTTAAAAAAAAACTTGTAAGAAATACATGTTCTGAAATTAGTATTTCATATCAGATAAAAACAAAAATAGTTTTACACACCAAGAGAAAGCCCATGTGATCTAGATCTGTTCAGATTTGGAAAGTTTAAGGAATTTAGAGAATTAAAATTCACATAGTTCACATAAAAAATGTAAAATTACGGACCATGTTACAATACCTTAAGAACGAATGTTTTCTATGGAGTGTTAAATGCACTAACAATGAATCCAACGTATAAAAATATGGTATCTTACAGTGTAACACACTTTAATGTCCGAAAGTTTACGGCCATACTTCATGGTTATAAAAGAGTAAAAGACGATCTGGAGATAGCAATAAGGTAACTTTTGAAGAGTGCATTTTTAATATTTGCTACATGTTTATTAACTTTGATGTCATTTCTCTCTAATAATTTGAATATGTTGTGATGGAATCAAATTTCTGTATATGCCGGTCAGTGTTTTATGTACACGTAAAACAACTTTAAAGTTTTGTTTCATGTATTTATAAAATGAAAGATTCCAGAACATGAAGAAATAATTATACACTGAAATGACAACAGAATTTTTTGTTATTTCCCGATCATGACATGGAGCACACAGTGGGTGCGACCAGTCGGCAGGGGATGCTCACTCCTCCATGGCACTTGATCCTATACTTCTTATGTTTTGGAGGTCCGTGTTTGTTCTGCTCCTATTCTGCATTGTTTTATGGATTTTTGATCTTGAATTTATTAATGCTGTTCATTATTTCCATATTTTTCATACATGTACATATGAGTAAACGGAAACTTTACTACATTGTAAAGAAAACATATTATAACTAGTCTATTAACTAATCATTCAAGGTGGCAGTTGTTCATTTCATAAAACCACAGACGTTACAGTTTTTCTATCAGAAAAAAAATCCCTGAAGTGTGCTCATCTGAAAAAAAAAACAAATCAGTGGCACGGTACATGGGGATATTTTAGTTTAAAAATGTAGAATGGTAACTCTAATTTTCTTATGAAAGTCTGCAGTCCAAATCTGAGGTCTAAGATTTGCATATTAGATCATCATTCATGATTCACAAAATAAAATGTACTGCATTGAATATGTTCATATACTGAAAGAACTCATTGCTAGGGCGATGTCACAGAAAATTGTTGTATGTACACAGTTTTAAAAGTAATTATACTATTATAGTAAATCTTGAAAATTCTCTCCTGCAGATCAGCGAGACTTCATTTTCAAAAAATATTAATGTACTGCCTTATATTGTCAATATGGAGATTCTTGGTTGAAAAATCGTGTCATGGCTAGGGTGGGCAGATAACTAGGAAAAGAAATTTATAAAAAGTCTAAGCTACATTTCTATCTAAAAGTTCAGATTTATTTATTAAGTTTTGACATTTAGGGCTTAAGATTGGCAACCTTAAGTCTACTAGGTTTTTGAATTTTAATGTATTTAAATTCTTCAGCAAGAGAACAGATCATCAGTTTCAATATGTGGCTGATCTCGATGACTTCGATTTTGATGAGTATGTTGAAAAGTTAGGTAAAGCAGACTGTCCAACTGGACTTCGAACAGATGAATTATATTGGTACAGTATTTATTTCATATTTGAAATAAACACAATCTGGTGTATTGCAGTTACTTTTTTATAAACTTTTATTTTTGTTTCAAGTAATACTATATATAATTATTTTTTATTTGTTAGTTTTCCTAAAATTGAACTGTTCAAAATATATGATGGAAGAAACAGTTATTCATTTTTCTCTCTCTCTTTTTTTTTTTTATTCTTTGGTTGGTTATATTTTAGGCATTTATTAACTCTTTTGGAAAAATGTTTGGAAGAGAAGAAACTGCTGATACGTAAAAGTGAAGAACATGCATCAATTAATGGGTAAGGAAATTATTATCTGGTTGGTTGCTAACATTATAGACATATTCATTTAAAGCAGCTAGTAAAAAATAAGTCATAGACTAAGATTTGCAATCAAGTTCCTTTACACAGAAAACCACCGACAGTGGCTCTAAGTTATTGGCTGACATTGCCTCAGGATGTTAGACACGTGATTGCTTCTGAAGACCCTTCAAAGATCATAGAGTATGTTACTAGCATTATATTACATGTAATCAATTAACTTTCAATTTTCCATTGTTTCACACATTACAACATTTTATTTAGAAGTAAATTGCAGATTTGTAAATGTACATTTATAAACTATTTGAAAAATAATTATGTAAATGTTTAATTTTGTCTTTAGAGTTTTGGTGGAAAAGTTTCATCAACTGAAAATGGAACAAATAAGGTAAAATATTACTATTTCACATGTTTCAGAAAGAAAATAACATGATCATGATTGCATAATTCTACACTCTAACATAATTCTTAAAGTGTAGTTTTTTGATTGGCTGATATCAAACACTGAAAAAAAAAATGTTAAGTGTTAACACTAAATGTTAATGAAACTCTGTTGCCTCCATATGACAGCTTTTGGTTCTCAAATGCAAATCAACTCCATGGAGAAGAGATGAAAAATAATCCTACCGAAAGCACTTGTCTGAATGAATATACCTGACAGGTGAAATACAAATCCTAAGTTTTAACAGGTCGAGACCACTAGATTTTCTGGTGTCAGCATAAATTTGCATGTAAATTAGCTATCTGTTTACTTTACCTACTGCTGAATGAGCCGCAATGCATTGTGGGCTACTACAAGTACCCAGCTGTGTTGAAAATAAAGGGCAACTTGAATTGTCCCTTGGAAACTTATTTTCAATTCTTTTTTGAGATTTATGAAAGAAATATTTAAAATGATGTATAATCTTTCATTTCTATGCTCACATTTACAAAATTGTTACAAAATTTGCTTTATGAAGCCTTATATCAATTCATAATACATCAGCCTAAACCATTGTTCAAAGAGACGTAGGTGCTATCGTGTCGATAAAACATTGAGTTTTTTTTCACGCGATATACGTGTACATAGTTTTAGCAGGTAGTATGTACACAACGTAGGTCCTTGGTTTTAGACAAAAGGAGGTGTGCAATTATTATTTAACCCCTCAATATTAAGGTTATCCGATCCTCAGGTTCTGAAAATCAGGCATTGAGTAATTGAAAATGCTCACAAAGATGTCTCTAAATTCTCAAATTAAAATGTATTTACCCACGATGTTTCTTTAAACTTCATCTTTAAATTTAATCATATTATATAGGGAAAATTAGTAAATCTCAAATAATTTTTCAGGAAATGCAATTAGAACTACCTACTGTATATTTTCTAATTGATAATTGACCAAGAAATAGATTTTAGGAATAAAATTCATAGGTATCCAGGCTTTTAAAGAAAATTGCATGAATTTTACACTTATTTGGAATTTACTTTCTCCTACTTACTTCCATTGTTTCATAATGCATAGTGTATGAAATGTTTCCTTTCAATGAAAACACCGTAAATCACTTCTAATTTCAAATCATGCTTATAAACATTGGTAACAAAGGCTAAATCAATCATAAAAAGATATTTGATTTTTTTTGAAATATGCAAGTTTTACTTCATTTAATGAGGTACAAATGTCAACTTTTTAAATACCGTTTGTTAAAACTTTAAAGAACATTGAATCATACGTAGAGACATAAAATGAAAATTGTTGCATGAAAAATTTTTAATTTCAAGCTTTATTTTAAGACTTTTTAAATTAAATTATAAATTTAAGAGTTATCCTTCCTGGCTGAGGATCGTATATCCTTAATATTATCAGCAAGTTTTTTTTATGTACATGCAACCGTCAAAGCGTTTGTGCGATATTCGAAGCAATTATTAATAATCTAAAATACAAATCTAATATCATGATTAATTGTGAGCATGGAGCAATGTCTTTAAAATATAATCTTTCAATTTCGGGTCTTACAAAGTGATAAAGAAGCTCTACAGTTTTTCCGATAACGATTTAAATATTGTGAAGTAAACCGACGAAAACCATGTGTCGACATTGAATCGTAAACACGTAGTAGATTTGCACTTGGGACTCATTCATTTGATTGGAGAACGGGTGTGACGAGGACAAAATTTCTTATCTCCTAAACAGAAAGGTTACAATGGTATTTTTGCAATATTGCTTTCAATGGGAGTGTAATTCAGAAAACATAATTGTGTTAATGTTTTTTAAAAGTGGGTCAAACTCAAAGGTCTAGGTCAAAAGATCAAGAATGTTTACTTTCGTGAAAAGTACGTTAAACTTTCACAATGAATTTACATTTGAAATATGAATTTCCGAGCACCAACTGTTCAAAAGACATCAAAGTCAAGAAGTCAAACATGTTAGTATCCAAAGATAAGTCTTTTACAAGGAATACACATGTGAAACATGAAAGCCTTAACCATGCATTCAAAACTTATGGGCAAGGGTAAAGTTTTTGCGGAGAAACTCAGACAGACAAACACAGGCAGACGGACGGACAAGGCAAAAACTAAATGCTTCGGGGGGGGGGGGGGGGGGGGGGGGGCTTAAAATAACTACATTATATTCACCTGCAGCTGACTTTCCAGGTACATATTTATTTATTTTTATACATTGGACTAAAATGAAAGTGGTTACTGCTAAATTGATGCAATTGATAATTTTTAGATACTGAAGCACCCAATCTAAAAGCAAGTCAAATTGCAAGTGCCCTATAACTGGTCGTACACTTATGAGCAACTTTGATTGTAACTAGTAAATCGTAACTCTAAGTGAAATGCATTTACGTGCTAACTTTATGTCATAGACCTAAATAGTTTTAGTTCGTTTTAGGTCTATGCTTTATGTCTACGACCTGATATTTATTTTGTTTACTTCTAGAAATGAATATAATTTAACAATCAAGCATTCAGAATTTGAGAATAATAATTGAAAACTTATTTTCCCCCAATTTTTATCATACATGTATGTCTCCTGAATAAGATTTTAGGATTTAAAGAATTTAACTTGTAATTTATGAAAAAAATCTGCGGTCACCACCCCTCCCCAGTTTCAAAGCTACTGAATTTTTTAAAGGATAGAAAAAATTAACACAATTTTATTATGTCTCAATCATACATGTTTTTCTCATTGCAAATATGTATGCAACAAGGCCGTAACTAGGCTCAAATATTTAGTGAGGCAAAGGTGCTGGGTATTTTAGTCCCAGACGGGGCAAGGGTAGTACCTGATGGTCAGTGATGGGGGTTTCCAGGGGGAGGGGGATCCTGAAACCTGGGTATTAGAAAACAAAAGATTTAATCTTGGAAAGTATTTTGTCGCCCGCATGACACAGTTGTTATAGCGTATGCTGTAGAGTCGCAGACTAAGGAGTTGATCCTTACATCGCGGGTTCGAATCCCACTACAGGATGTGCAGACTGGTCCTTTGGATGATACCGTAAAATCCAAGGTCCTACGTACATTGTATGCCACAGTAAGAGATGACACAAAAAAGTTCTCTGAGTCTTCAATCATCTTCAATGAGTATTATGACCCGGAAACCAAGTGCAGCCCTCCCGCGCCAAGTAGTAGTGTCTCAATATGAATGAGAAAATCTTAGAAGGGATGTTAAACAATCAAGCAATTTACAAAACAAACGTTTTGAATTATATTTTACATGCGTTCTAAATGGAAAACTAGTGAGATGAACGATTTAGAGAAATTGAAACAAAAGTTGAAAATATTTATTTACTATGAAGACACATAATTTTATGTTTCATATTAGTTCAATGTAAAACTTTTTCACTTTTTTAGAAAAATGTAAAATTTTAGTGAGGCATTTGCCTCACTTGCCTCAATGGTAGTTACGGCCTTGTGCAATGATCAAAAAAAAAACGGCATGACCGGTATTGAATTCTGCACCTTGTAATTCTCCAAATGGTTAAGTTATAAACAAACTTTATACAATGAAAAGATATCTACTTGATGATCTAAAATAAAATCTTTCTAACGGTGTTAGTGTTCTTGGTCGTATCTACTTTCATCAACTAATTAACGTCTAGTTCAGCTGGACTCATCATTTATTTTTATTTCGAAATAAAAAAAAAAAAAAGTTTTTATTTTTAAAAAAATGTCTGAATTCAGGGAACAGTAAAACTTGAAATCTATATATCTATTATGAATTTCTTCAAGGAGTAGATAAGACGAGGAGCTAAATATGATGGGAAGACATTTACACTCGGAAAGAATAAAGCGTATCACATGTAGATACAGTGTACATAATTGATGAATTGCATATTAAGAAAACTAAAGTGCAAAATTAGACCTTTCCCTCCTTCTGTTTTCAATAGACCGAATATTGATAAAAAATATTAACATTTCCAATGACTTTATCCGTTATAGTCGCCTGCGTGACGCAGTGGTAAGAGCGTCTGCTCTAGTGTCGTAGCAAAAAAAAATTCTCCCTGTTCAAATGCCCCTCTGAGTGCCGAGTATAGGACAAAATTTGCAGCTCTCCACCGGCAAATGGGGATATTTTCATATAAGTAAACTATTTTCTAGAGGATTGCTAAATAACAAACAAACATTGTCCGAGATAAAATAACAAATAGCAAAAATACTTTATTTCTACATAAATATATACTCGTTAATCGATAAGTGCGATTTAAATTCACGTGCGGGGCGAGACAAATAAACACAGAAGCGGGGCTTGTAGAAAGTGAAGTTATGTAATCAAGAGGAATAACTTTCTAATTTTTTGGTTTTATGATTATGATCAATCGATTGGTTTGTGTGATAATTTTATGCATAAACGTCTTCGGCGTTTATGTAAAGACACTCCTTTATCACAACATGGAACCAAAAGATTAGACATTTATTCCTTAATTAGAACGAGTAAACTAACATGAAATTACACTTTATACTTTAGTAGTCTAGATGACAAAAAACTTGTAACGATAATTACATGTATTCTGTTTGTAAGGCTTAAATTGACAACTACATTTTATGCCTCAAATTAAATGGCACCTTCTGGTATTCTAACTATACTCAAAATTTACAGATCTTTTTAAGCTTTAAGGGGACGAAGGATGTTTGGTCTCATGATTCAGTTTAATTACGCCATAATCTCTGATAAAATATGTACAAAACAAGATTAATACCATAGTATTTGTATAATTTTTTGATTGTTTGTTTGTGTTCACCATCGTGTATAAAAATATCTAAATCATTCAAACATTCTTGCAAATATTATCAAATTACGGAATAGATTGATCCACTCTTCTGTTTCCCTACTCTGCGCGTCCAACGAGTCGTTGACGTCATTGTAGATATCTTAGTGCAGTAAGATTATACAAGGTAAAACACAGATAGTATATCATAAAACGGATCATGATCAGTACATTGTGGGGTATTCTGTAAATTAGAGAACACAAAAAATATTTTTACATGGTTGTTGACGGAAATATTTTGTAGGTTTATCTTATTTCACTTATTTTGCAAATGTGTGACGTCAAAGTTGTGTTTTTTCGTACTCGAGAAATGTGAACATAACACTTTTTTCATACTCATGTTTTGTTTAACTATGGCCTGTGCAATATTGAGCTCAGCTTCACCAATCGATATTTTTGCACTTAATCAATAAAATGACAAACTTGCATTTCAACGTAAATTTTCAAATATTGAATGATAGGATTTCTTGCAGATTAATTTTTTTGTTGTTTATGTTGTCTTAAAAAGTACGCAATTTTCCGTCTCAAGATGCGGTGTGACAAATGAATTTTGCTTTTACGAATTTTAAACCCTAATCATACTCTGAAATATTTTAAAAGACACTTGTTCGCTGACATATTTTTTGTCTGTGCTAAAAAAAATTCCGTTATGGGCCTAGTAATGGGCTCAGAAACATGGAGAATCAGAACTTCACTTTGAACCTGTGGGGATTAGTATTTGTCTCTCAATATTTCTAAAATAAGTCTTGAAACATATTAATATATCTGCTTTAATGTATGTGGGACATGCTGAATGAGAGAAATACAAAATATAACAAAAAAATTAACGACAGAAATTTTTTCAGCTAAAGGTCCTTCTTCCCCTTAAATCCTTTAATCTCACCTTTCAGTTTGAAATACTTTCATCATTTCATTCAATAAAAAATATTTATAAAGTATCTTGCTGTTTCCTACATTTCAATATATTCAGATAAATCGACCGCATTTTTTTTTTCGATTTAATTATAGAACTTACTTTCTCCCATTTGTTGAATCAGTATATCTCAGTAAAGTGAACTCGAAATTAAATGACACAGCAGAAGCTGTCACATCTATTTTATATTTTGGATTAACTGAAAATAATGACTGCCTTAAACTCTCTGGAAAACGGAATACCTTCAGCATTTTGATTGTCAACTTTCCGTATATATGTGGTGTTTAATTAAGGAATCACTGTCTAGTTCGTATAGTATGCCAGGGCATGAACGATAGTGGGAAACATGGGATAATTTGCATAACGGGCGAACCTTATATTTCCGTTTCATTGTGAAATAAAATTGTAGATTTATATTTTTAAAATGTAGACATAGATTAAAATTACACGGGGACTCCCTTGCCAATTTCCATAGCTCTATCCCACTGACATCAAACACAAAGGCAGCCGCATGAGATTTTCATGCATATTTGGCATCCTAAGCACCAGACACAGAGACAGATGCGCACGAGATTTGCATGCATGTTAGGCATCCCTAGCTCCCAACCTTTCGACCTGCCTAATTTACATTCCAGCAGGTTCATCAAGAAATTAACTCCGCTAAGTTTCAAAGAGTTATCACAGAGACAAAAATAAGAAATGGAAATATCAGGTAATATTCCAGCATCATCTACATAATTCTGGTGTTTACGTCAACAAACAAGAGCCTACTCTGAATGTTTTAGCTAGCTAGGTAATTTTCTGACAAGTATGTTAATATTACAAGGATCTAAATAATCTCGATTAAAAAGAGCTTTTGGCAAATTTTACGGTCAATAAATTAAGTTCATTTTTGTCTGCAAATACAACCTATAGATGAAATGTATTTTGTTTGTATTGTATTTTACCATATGTTAGACTATTGCTTTTATGCTTTTATTTTGTTATTTTTGTGAAACAAAGGCAATATTCGAGAATTGAATTGAAATAATTTTCATGAATTTTTTTCAGTATTTTAAAAGAAAAGGGTAGTCCCAAGAAGGTAGCACCGAACATTAATCAAATTGATGAGAAAGAATACAAAAGGTAATATACCGGTACATTAATGTTATACACGTTCGTATTTTTACTTGAAGATTGAGATACCTCTCTTAATAATCCCCCTAAAATATACTTATGTCCTAATATCATTTTGATATATACTTAGGGTAAAAGTATCATTTTTTAAAAGCTGTCGAGAATAAAAGTAGATTTTAATTATATAAAGACATATTAAAGACATCTTCTCAGAAAACCCTAGCAGGCCCGGGTGTCCCTTTTGAAAAGTTCTAATATGTTTTTTATTTTCATCGTCCCTTGGTTTTGAAATTTTTATCGAGCTTGCTATTCTGAACAACTTAATTACTAGGTATGACATATGATATTAGATAGCTTAAATCGAGTGCATTTTAAACAGTTCATTGTAAAAAATCACCAATGATGGATAAATATTTGCATTCCATGAATAACAATTTTTTTTTTTACTTTCACGAGAATTTTATTTGGTGAAAATATTTCTTTTTATATCAGTTGCAGGAGGATTTATACAATGTAATTTCATTTTTCCCCTTACAGAATGAAAGAAGAAAACAAGAAGTTGAAGTTGAAAAATGTTGAAATTCAAGAGTAAGTTTATTTTATGTTTAGAAATTTGAATTTTATATTTCAAAAGGTGACAATTACCCCATTCTTACCATTTGAGACATGGTTAATTTACATGTAGAAAGAATAGTATTTCCATCATAAAATCGTAATAATATTTTAGAAAACTGTTTGCATGTATTATTGATGTGTATAACAGTATATATCTGAATAAGAAATAATTATATAAATTTCTTTAAAAATATTTTTTCAATGAAATAGATTATACTTAATCATGAATATTTTCTGCCATTAAAAATACCTTCATATAATTTAACAAAGGGACCGTGCTGCCAAAATTGAGAACATTCACTACTTTACTGAGAGGTTGAAGGAGAAAGAAAGAGAAGTGAAAGAACTTCAAAAATTGAACACTGATTACCGAAATCAATTGTACACGAAAAACGTCTTGTCACTTCAACAACAACTTGCCCATTCAAAAAGGATTATTGATGATTTACAAGCTCAAAAGGAAGCCTTACTCAAGGAGAAGGAGCGATTATTGACAAGGTGATATATATAATTATTAATCCCATGTTTACCCCTTTATTCCGTGCATGATATGACTAGTTGGATATTTTTTTGATATCCCACAATGGTGAAGTTAAAAAAGTGGAGTCCTTCATAAGAGATTGAATTTAACATTGATTTTGATAAATTAAACATGGGATATACAGACTCTACCATGATTTCTAGTTTGATATGATTTTTTTTCCAACTTTTTGTGTGATTTTATCATCTGTGAAAAGTTTTAGGTATGTTTTAAATATGATAACTAGACCATACTTTAAACGCAATACATGTACATGTATACAAATATTTAAATGATTTTTACACGTATTACAGTGTATGGTACGGAATATATATTAATACTCAGTAAATATGGATAAATTATTTTACATGGGTAAAAATCAAACTAAATAATGCGATTTTATCAATCAGTGGGACGGACAACTTCGGAATGGACATTTTTCCGAACTTGCGCACCCTTTTCCTTTAAAGCTATCATCTTAGGGTTTTTTTTAAATGGTGGGGTTTTTATAATCAAATTGATTTATGAAAAAAAAAATTCAACATTTTCTGCTAGTTTTTGAGATATTTGAGTTCAAAAACAAAAATCCCATGGGGAAACATGAACTTAAAAATACCCCACAAAAAACCCCACAAAAACCCCATGGGGTTTATTTTTCACCCCATGGGGTTAAATAACCCATATTATTTTTCGTGGGGTTTTTTAACCCACGTCTCACTAAAAATAAAATGTGGGGTTTATTATCCCATAATTTTTTATGTGGGGTAAAAAAACCCATATTATTTCTCTTAATGCTTGTAATTATCAAGTGAGAATTATAAAATAAATATTGTTTGGAGTTGCAACATAAATTAAGTACAATACATGTACATTTTTTATCAACTTTGTAACAATTTAATTAATTAATTTTTTTTTCAAATTCATTGATATACAGTACCTGGCCATAAGTGAGTCATAATTTTATTTTTACACTATATATTTCATTGAAAAACCTATTTTCATAAAAACTTGTTGTGAAGTCAATTTTAGCTCAATTTTCATGATTTTTTCACTGAAACATGCAGAATTATTCAAATTTTCTTATCTTAAATGATAAACAAAATGATACTTAAACTATTGAGAATAAATCATAAAATATTGTCATGACAAAATTTTCTAACCTCAAATTACTATGATTTCTTAACAAATTGAAGTCTTAAAATTTTTGTTTTGCACTTGACCTGTGATTTCACGGTAATGCATAAAGATAAAACTATTTTGAAATAATGTGAAGAAACTACAACAAATTCTGCATTTTATGGTGTTTTAGACATTAAAAAGAAACAATAAATGACACTGCAAGAATATTTTAGAAAAATGTGTTTCCTAATGAAATATATAGTGGAAAAATAAAATTATGACTCACTTATGGCCAAGTACTGTACATTTATCACTGCATATGTAAATTAGACATGGCATAAGCATGATAAGAAGGGAATTAAATTATATTTTTTTGACTGACCCGTAAGTGAAAAAGTAAACAAATACGGATTAAAAGTTTGAAAGTTAATCTAATATTCCAAGTGGGGGAGAGAAATGAATATAAAAAAAGACATTGGAGTGGACCGGCAATTTCATCAGAAAAACAATGTAAAAAATAACGTGACTTTGTTTACGCTAGCGTAGCTCACAGGTTATTGTTTTCACTATTTTACTGATAAAACTGCCGACTCCTCAGTCCTGTGACCTGTTACTGAACACTGTTGATCGTGAATCACATGGTAATGATAGTTGTTCTACTTACATGGAGTTTAGTTTGAGCTCTGCTGTTTGTAGCATAATGGACTTGATTCAAACAAAGACAAAAACTTCTCTACTTTTCAAAGAATGTTTTTGAAATTGATTGAAAGAGACCAAATCAAATCATGACTTGTGATACTTCTAATTCCTCATTTTGGCACCATTGTCACCCACATCTTTTTCTTTCCCTATGTATAAGTCGTACTCTAAGAAACATATGGGTGACTCTGACAAATAGCGTAAAATTCAAAGACTAAACTGTTATATTTATCCGGAATTTGTTTTTCAGCTACACTGACAAAAGTTAAGTATATTATACTTATAGATGTTTATGCCCACTGGCCCTGATTTGGGAATAAATCCCATTGTATTCCATTCTAAATAATCTGTAAATGCAGTAGCTTCTCAATCCTAAACCAGAAAAATGCTTTCTTTAAAGTGATTAAAAGAACCAGTTCGTCTTCTTTCATGCAATATAACACTTTTATAGCTTTTTCAAAGGAATTAATAAATTTAAATCATAAAAAAAGAGATGAAAGAAGACGAACTGGTAGCGTTTGGAAGGTGTTATGGAATAAAAAATACCACACCAAGCAAATTTACATGAAATAAAATGAAAGAAAAGACCTATAGCCCTCAAGGTTTCACTGGTCAGCATGATCAAGGACTCTAATAAATTCATTCAATACGCATACAGGTACGGACTGACTATATAAAATCTAATATTTATTTTTGAATATTAATTATGTCTATAAGGCAGCTATATATTTCAATAATTTATTTAAATTTTTAGAACTTATAGCTTTGAGTAGAAAACAGTCTCTCGATCATTTCCTTAAATGTTTCAAAAAATATATATATAAACAAATACTTTGATAAAGTTAGAATTACTAAATACAAGAAATTTATAATTTATCATTTTAGATTAAGAAAGACCATACTTTTACAAGAAAAATAAAACCATACTTGCCAAATTTCATTGAAATATGAAAAAGTTATGGCCAGTTAAGAGAACACACCTGTACGATTGACTGAATATGTCACATGATGATGGATTCTCCCCATGTAAATTTCAGTTCTTTTACAACTTATCATGTAAGATTTAGAAAGTATATGCCATTGCAAGAAAAATAAAACCAATACTTGCCAAATTTCATTGAAATATGAAAAAGTTATGGCCAGTTAAGAGAACACACTAGTACGACTGACTGTGTATTACATGATGATGGATTCTCCCTATATAAATTTATGTTCTCTTTTAGTTTTACAATTTAATCACTTAGGATTAAGAAAGACCATACTTTTACAAGAAAAATAAAACCATACTTGCCGAATTTCATTGAAATATGAAAAAGTTATGGCATGACTGCCTAATAACTGCCTATTCTCCCTATATAAATTTTATGTTCTCTTTTAGTTTTTAAGAGAACACACTAGTATGAAAAAGACTGACTGTGTATTACATGATGATGGATTCTCCCTATATAAATTTATGTCCTCTTTCAGTTTTACAATTTATCATTTTAGATTAAGAAAGACCATACTTTTACAAGAAAAATAAATCCATACTTGCCAAATTTCATTGAAAAATAAGAAAGTTATGGCCAGTTAAGAGAACACACTAGTACGACTGACTGAATATGACATGATGATGGATTCTCCCCATGTAAATTTCAGTTCTTTTACAACTTATCATGTAAGATTTAGAAAGTTTATGCCATTGCAAGAAAAATAAAACCAATACTTGCCAAATTTCATTGAAATATGAAAAAGTTATGGCCAGTTAAGAGAACACACTAGTACGACTGACTGTGTATTACATGATGATGGATTCTCCCTATATAAATTTATGTTCTCTTTTAGTTTTACAATTTAATCACTTAGGATTAAGAAAGACCATACATTTACAAGAAAAATAAAACCATACTTGCCAAATTTCATTGAAATATGAAAAAGTTATGGCCAGTTAAGAGAACACACTAGTACGACTGACTGTGTATTACATGATGATGGATTCTCCCTATATAAATTTATGTTCTCTTTTAGTTTTACAATTTAATCACTTAGGATTAAGAAAGACCATACTTTTACAAGAAAAATAAAACCATACTTGCCAAATTTCATTGAAATATGAAAAAGTTATGGCCAGTTAAGAGAACACACTAGTACGACTGACTGTGTATTACATGATCATGATGGATTCTCCCTATATAAATTTATGTTCTCTTTTAGTTTTACAATTTAATCACTTAGGATTAAGAAAGACCATACATTTACAAGAAAAATAAAACCATACTTGCCAAATTTCATTGAAATATGAAAAAGTTATGGCCAGTTAAGAGAACACACTAGTACGATTGACTATATGTATAACATGATGATGGATTCTTCCTATGTAAATTTATGTCCTCTTTCAGTTTTACAATTTATCATTTTAGATTAAGAAAGACCATACTTTTACAAGAAAAATAAATCCATACTTGCCAAATTTCATTGAAAAATAAGAAAGTTATGGCCAGTTAAGAGAACACACTAGTACGAATGACTGAGTATAACATGATGATGGATTCTCCCTATGTAAATTTAAGTCCTCTTACAATTTATAATTTTAAGTCTCAACTCTGTTTTAAGTTGTTATAATCTGCACCAGTAAGAACATTTTAATAGAAAAGGTCATATGTTATATGTAGGCATTCACAAATTAATTTGGTAAAATTAAAAAGAAATGTTGGAAAAGTATTCCATGAAGATACAGTACATTTTAATCTGTTTAATAAGAAATATATGAAGAAGTTGAGTAATACATGTATGAATTCTTATTTATGAAAATAAGTTGCAAATGATTTTGAATGAGCAAACCATTGTATTGTTTATTACCAAGAACCATACAGTTCATAGGTTTAACGTATATACATAAATCAGTTGTACAGTATATGTATAACATTTCAATGTCATTCGAACATTATGAAGCCTTACATCAGAGACATAAATAACAGTTATTATGTCTCTGCTTACATCCAAGTATTTGGAAATTTATCAATATGTCAATGACCGTTTTCCATGGCAATAACACAATAATTATCAATTAGTAAAATTACAAAAAAAAGTTAATTTTTCATTTTTTTTTTTTTTTTTTTTTTTTTTTTTTTTTTTATTTTCATCAATGAACACTTTGAAATGTGCTTTTTACTAGGAAAAC